AAAAAAAAAAAAAAAAAAAAAAAAAAAAAAAACAGTGCCGCTCTGACGTCTGTGAAGCAAAGCTTAAACATGAAACATGATGTCATGAAACATGGCCATGAGTCCTAGATTTATGCTTACAGCCTAGAAACAGTGATGAATCGGCCAAATGTCATGACAAAGATGAGCCAAGGCGAAAAAAACCAAGACAAAGCAGGTCAAAAATTAAGATGCCTTCGATTATCGAGGTGTCTTGCATTTTGAACTATTTCCGACCTGCCAAACTGTCAACAGTGAATACTACTTAAGTATTATACGTCGTTTGCGCGAACATTATTAAACAGGGGCCGGAATTATGGGCCGACAACTTTTGGTTCGCATGCTTCATTGTTTCATCGTGAGTTTTTCTCCAAATTTTTAACTAAATTTGTGCCGCAACCACCGTATTCGCCTTTTTTAGCTCCGTATTACTCCTATTCAGCAAATTCAAACAACCGCTCGGGGTAAACCGTTTCGAGTTAGCTGAAGATATTAAACGTGAATCGATACGCGAGTTGAAGACTCTTTCAGAACTACTTTAATAACTGTTTCGAGGATTGGAAAAAAATGTTGGCAAAAATGTATTGGGGTGAATACTTTGAAGTGGACACATTGATTTTAAAGAATAAATTAAGAATTTTAACCACTCTGTCTTCACTATTAAATATCTCATTTTTATATACAAAATTACTAATAACATAGAATAATGATACCATAAATGGCTGACCGCGGATTAAATTGAAAATTTAAGAGTATGTTAGAGAGTTGTAGGCTGGTTATTTGTAAGCGTGCGGTATATACAGACATACATACATCTAAATGCAATTTCGAAAAAAATACACAAATGTTATCTGAATACAACCTTGCACTACTTATTTATAACATATAAGTATACACAAAGACAATTCAGCTGCAGGTACTACTACACTCGTTGATTTCATAATAAAATGTTATCAGAAAATGATTAAGAATTATTATTAGTGATTCCGATGAAATGGAGGAGGAAGAGCGGACTTAGAACGAAAGCGAGTCAGAGTTTACATAAACGAATATGGAGAAAAATTTATTTATAAGTATACACGAACTTTGCGGTTTCCCCATACCTCTGATACAGGCATATATAAAGCTTATGTATATAAAAATATATGCATAAACAATGAGAGATAAGATAAGAACGGTACCTCATTAGGCTCTAGAAAATTAGCTATTGGCTAATTTAATTTTGGCTTTTGGAAAAACACCACGATTCATCAACAATAATTACTGATTTGAGACACATTCATCAGCAAAAAACATGCGTATGACATTAAACATATGTATATGCATGTATATATATATATATATAAAAATTTAGCAAAACGAACAGAATTATTAAATACTTACACAATAAATTGCGGCTTCACAACTTGCTCTGCACCCTCCGCTTCGGGATCGGATATATCCACCCATTCATCACTGTTGTCACTTGTCGCGCCACAATGCGACTGTGTATAGTTCTTTGTGCCAGCGTGACCATCACTACTCTCATCACTGCCATTATTATTAACCCCACCGATGCGCCCGGAAATGCTTGCACTTGATTTTTCCGCCGTCGACGACTGCCTTGAGCCCAAACTTCCCGTGCCATAGAACATGCTGGCCGTCACAGACATCTCGTATAAACTATTTGTTTTGTGATCTGATGAAATGGTAAGCGTCGAACCACTACTACTGCCCGTCAAATGGCCGACAACAGTACCGTTACTAATGCGGCGGTAATGAGCGATGCTCTCGTAGCAATTTGAAGTGAGCGAAATGTTATCACTGCCACATTTTGTTGTAGTGTTGTTGGATTTTTGCGTTGCATTGTCAGCAGTGTGAACCGATTCGTAACAGTGTGAACCCTTAATGGTGTCATAGATGTTCTCATCATCAGCATAGTAATGATGTTCGTCGTCATGATCATCCATTGCAGGGATTGTGCTATTACTGCTGCTCTTGCTATAACCTGATCTGCTGTTAAGGGTTTTACTGCTTTCGCGAAGAATCACTGCGTTCTTGCTTGCGGACTTCGGCGAACGTTTGCCTGGCATTGGCGATTTGGGCAGACGACGCTTGGGTTTCGGCAACTCCGGCAGTTCGTCGTTGGTATTACGCACGTTGACTACGGTCATGGAGATTTGTTGCATAAGCTTGGCGCTTGTATTGCTGGAAGTGCTATCGTTTAGAGGCATAGCAGCCGTAGAAAGTGCAGTTGGTATGTCCGGCGGTGGCTCACAGATTTCATAACCGTCGTACAAGGGTTTACTGCTACTCGCTATTGCCGTGGCAATCGCTTGCGTTAACTGCGTTGTTTGTTCGGCGGAACCCGCTATGGATTCGTAGTCAGCCAAGAGTGTGAGATTTGTGGCCTCAGTCACTGGGGATGTAGTCGTGGCTGTAGCTTCCTCTACAGTTTGGTAAATGTCGTCAAAGAGTTCATTACTTTCAGCTAATGGCTCAGTGAGTTTTTCTATCAAGCCTTCGTTTATTTCTTGCGTTTTCTTCTCTTGTGCTGCCGCTAAACTGTTATAGACGAAGGATTTTGGTGGTGTATACATAAGGGTGCTTTGTGGTAGTGGATTGGTTGTTATCGTTAAGTCTTTTTCAGTCTTTGTAGTATCACTGTGTCCAGCAATGGGTTCGTACATGGGCTCTGCTGAAGCTACTGCTTCTTCTGCCGTTTTAACAGCTTCAAGTTCGACCAAAATGGGTTGTACACTTAATGGACGCACCAGTTCGCTGTAATCGCATTGCTGACGCAGCAGTGCCTTTTGCTCCGTCATCAGTTGCTCGCCCTCAATACTGTTTACAAGTGAGACATTGACAGCCTGTGCCACAATCAATTTATTATTTGGCACTTGTTTTGTGCTCGCCTGAAATATAAAGGAGTTATTCGGCAGCACACGTTTTTCAAAATCATCCTCCGGTGAGAGTACAAGAGCGTCAGTATTCTCATCGTTTTGTTCGATTGCGAGATCTTTTAATTTGTGATCGATGATTTCCAGTGCGTCCAGTAATTTCGATTCTGGTTCAGGGGTCAGTGTGCCTGCATTAACGGTATTTAAAGTATTTTTGTCCGCATTGATCTCATCAGTCTCTATTGTGGTAGTGGTTGTTGTTTCTATAGCTAATGCGGCGTCTTCAGCTAACTCAGTAACTGGTCTCTGAATTTCTTCAGTCATTGCAGTCGGCGACGTCGGCTGCTTCGAAGACAGTTTCTTGTTACTATGGCCGCCAACAAATGGTGACCTAAAACGGAACTTTTCATAAATTTTCGCGTATTTATGTTTGCGTTGCTTTGCCTTCTCATCGTTGACAGCGTCGACTTGGTCATCATGAGATGCGTTGGCCGGCGTTTGTATTATCTCCGCCGTTGTTGGCTTTTCTCCCAACGTTGGTGTTGTAATTGTGACAGTTGCTTTGCTGCGATCGACGTCAGCTAATGGCGTTTTCAGTGTCGCGTCGGTCGTGGGAATGCTAAGCTCAGCTTTTATGGTAGCCTCCGTTATTGCATCAATTGCAACGGGTTCAATTGCGTTCTCTGCCGGCGTCGCCTTAATGCAAATCGTACTGCATTCCATAGCAATGTCTGTATTGCTAGTTGTAAGTGTGTTCGTATCGGTTCTTAAATCATTACTGTTGGATATTCTCATCTCTGACGCAGTGCTGCTACTGAGGCCATCCAGACATTCATCAAATGCATTCGTACTCTTACCGCTTTGCTGTAGATCGTCGCCTTGTCGCTGCTCGACTTCGTTAAGTGTGTTTGCGTCATCAATGTTGCCGTTGTTACTGTTATTCTGTAGCGCGTACGTGCTTCCCACATTTTTTGCATTGGGCACGATTACCTGTGTCATGCCCAACGGACTGTTCCAGTTGGATTTTTCATATGCTTCTAGCGGTGTTTTCGACTCTTCGGTTACGACTTCTAATGGCGACGAGAGTGGCAGCGATAATTGCGCTTTTTTCATTTCAAGTTTCAGCTGCAGCTCATTTGTTGTTGTGGGGGTGGCATAAAGCTTAAAGTTCTTTGGTACACCACTACCATTGTTGTTCAGACTATACTGTTGCGCTCTGTTGAGTTCGCGCAGCTTTTGCAGTACATGCGCACTTTTCGCTGGAACCACAGGCTTAGCGACCTCGGGATTACCTTCGAATTTCATTATGTTGCGCTGCACGGTTGAAGGTCGTGAAGGAGACCCTTCTGATTCGCGTGCACTCCGCGCTGTGCTGGGCAAAACGCGTTTGTTACTGTCCAGTGTGGCGTTAGGATTCTGCACCACTTTGTAAACATGTCCGCCGCGTGACATGAGCACACCATTCTTGCGCTTCACTTCTTCCAGCAGCTTCTTATCTTTTTGTATCATTTCATTGAATTGTTGCGTCAGTTTGGCAACTATATTGCCACCCCCTGGCACCAAAGTGGCCGCATTACCACTGCCGCTCCCATTGTTGAAGCTATCGCGTTGACTCATCTTGCGAGGCGCATGATATGTGCGCGTGTGTGTTTTAAAACTATATTTTCGCGCGGATGCTGAGGACGATGAAGAGGAGGCGGTACGACGCGCGCTACGCCCCCCTGTAGTCGCGCCACTAGTTACCGAACCCGATGTTGATAACGTAAGCGAGCCTGATTTATTCGAATCGCTGCTACTGCGTTTCGCCACCGACGTACTCGCTGTTTCGCGTTGCGCGTACCGCTTACGACTGGCTGAAAGACGAGGTGAATTGTTGGCAGCAAGCGTATCGGTATCGGAAGACTCGGCAGGGTGATCGCGCCATTCGAGCGGGGTGGTTGGCGTTGTTGGCTCCATATCATTTGTTGTTGTGACGCGCGTTGCGGTGTTTACTCTTTCACCGATAACAATTGCGTCATTTGATAACGTTGTGGCTTTTTCATGGCTAATACGGCTATTTACAGTTGCCATTTCTGAATTTTCACGACGCTTCTTTACCATGTCTTGCCTTTTTAGCCAATGTATGCGCTCGCCGCGGTCACTCGCCTGCACTGCTGGAAAATGCGCATCGTAGTCGCGCGTCTCACTGCTTACGATGCCGGCGGTGACGCGGCGCGCACTCTTGATACGCATGCGCGCCTCGCGCGTCAAATGTTTTGCTGCTTGCTCGGCCGTTTTGTACTTATAAAAGTTGTCCTTCTCCCGATGTAAATAGTGTAGTTCGGACTCGTGCGTCTCTACTTTTAATGCTTCAGCTTCACTATCGACGCCAACTTGCGTGCAATCGTGTAGGCTTTGCGCGAGTTTTTGGCTCAAGGCAATGCCTTCGTCAGCACTCGCAGCAGACTCTGCTGTTGCCTTGGCTACGTTAACCAAACAGCCAATGGATTTTGTTAATTTGTTCGCTTTGCTGTCACTTAATGAGTTTTGTCGTCGCGTTGCGTCCTCACTAGCGCTAATGCGTTTATTCCACAAATGTCGCAAACTTTGTACGCCACGAAATTCACGTAGTGTTACGTCGCGTTCCGCCGCCGCGGTCGTCGGCGTCGGTGTCTGTGGCGATAATGACTTGGCACGACTCCCTGTATGGACTTCTCTCCCTTCAATCGCACCAGTCTCTGTGAAATTTTGTTCGCTTTGCGCAGTCTCGGCTTTAGTTGCTTGTTTTGCGTTGCCACCGCGAAACCAACTGAAAAGTGTCTTTGCTTTTGATGGCGATGAATTTGGTGTGGTTGAGTTTGTTGTAATTAATGCACTTTTATTTGCATCTTCAATAGCAGGCTTGGCCGTAGCCAACACTGCTGCATCGTATGTGGTCAACATTGTTTTTGTTTCCTTTGCACTGTCCAACATTTTGCTGTTCGTTTTTGGTATTAAACACTATTTGCACTAAGTTTTTGTTGTTGTTTTCGTTTATTATATGATTAGCTATCAGCTCACGTTCTTTGGTGTTGCATATTTCGCTTTGGCAGCAATCACTTCGGTTGCAGATGACAGCCACTGCACAAGTGGCTGACGTTCCACCGGGGACTTGGCAGTGTGCGACAAACCTGTAATTAGAAACAAAAGAGAAAGTCAAAACATACTGCCGAACATATATTTATGATTTTGTAGATTTCTATTTTTTTTTTTTTTTTTGTGTTAAATTCGTTTTCATAGCGATTTCGTAAAAGCTAATTATTCGAAATTTTGTAAATCAAAAGCATCTTCGGACGGGGAATTGAAATAGCGCTTTGTTGTTATTTGGAAAGATGCTGGTAACCAACAAGGCTTCTTTCTGCTGCTAAACTGTATGGCAATAATTGCTCTCATACCCGAAACCTCGTAAATTAGTGCGTTTCTTATCGAAAATATAATTCGGCGGTTGTTAGCTTTAATTTCTACCTTCAATTTTTTCTTCTTTAATGGATGCCGTTTACGCGATTATAGCCTACTTTACAACAGTGCGTATATTAAAATAATCATTAGTCTTTAGTATACAATTGTCTTTCTGAAGTACATAAAGTGCATTCGGCGATTTTATTGATGAGTGGAATTGTTGAACAAAGAAGTTCCATTAAACTTTTAGTGTGGAATCAAATTTCTGCTGCCAAAACGTTCAGAATGTTGGAAAAGGCCTTCGGTGATAATTGTTTGTCGCTTGAGAGTGCTTTTATTGGTATAAATTATTCAAACCGACTACCAGTATTTCATCAAACCTTTTATTACTGCCGATGAGTCCTGGATCTATGTTTACGACGCGGCGGCTGACGGTCAATTGAACAAATATCCTGACAAAGGTGAAGCGAAACCAAAAAAAAACACAAAATTTTCAACCGCAACCATCGTATTCGCCTTTTTTAGCTGCGTTTTGGCTATTCAGCAAACTCAAACGACCGGTAAGAGGGGAACATTTCGAAAATTGACTTCGACAACAGTTTCGAGGATTGGTAAAACGTTATCACAAGTGCATTGGGGCCAAGGGTTATTACTTTGAGGGGACGACATATTTTTAGAAATTAATTGTATATTAAATCCATCACTAATGTTTGGTGTTCCAGCGATGCTTTAAAGTTTCCGCTGGTAAATGTTAAAAATAAATTCTAAACCCCATTTTATAGTATAACCACTACATATTACATATATGTATATGCATGGATATATTAGGTCTTAATTAAACTTTGTAGAGGTATTTGTATAGTGTGTTATGCAATAGTAACTACTTTGACCATAAAATATTATAAACCAAACATTACAAACGACTCTTGCATACCAAGCAGTTTCCAGCATTTGAAGCGATACACTACATATTGCTAAAACGCAGCAATGGTAAAGTACCAATATAACAACAACATAACTGGCAAGAAGCCATGAAATTATTTGTATAGTCTTTGAATACTAATCTAAATATGGGCATGCCAAATTATTGTACATTAATATTGAAGTCAATGATATTTCGATAGACTGAATGTCGGCAGTATGAAATTTTTATTTCATATTTCGCAATATGTGGCAAAGAGTGTAATAATGCTCACCTCTAACGCTTGCTTTTAAAAAACATAAATGAATCGAATTATGCTTATGTAAAATATCTTATTTGTAAATTTAAATTATCGCTGTTAAACCTATTTTTGTAGCCTATCGGATAGATTTAGCTTCTTATAATAGGGAATATGAGTTATGATAAAAAAATGAAGATTCTGTTCGTTATAAAAGCATCTAAAGTGTGATTAGTAAGATGGATCCTTGTGACTATTCGAGGACTGCTTCTCTGTTGGATGATTACAGTTCATTTAATTACCGATAGTTACGTGTTCGATTTGCTACTCTCTGTTCTGTTATATTCATGTCAAAAGTTGAAATAACCTGATTGCTCTAATGTGCCGAACAGGTAATGGAAAGCTACTCTCCTTTTGCCTCTTTTTCAGCATATGGTACATACTATATATGTCATTTATTTGAAGCATGCACCAATAATTATTTTCTTACTCTAATATGTCAAACTTTGTACCTGAAAAATTATTTTTGCGATTTGGCCTTCTTTAAAATCTTAATAAGAACTCTTAGCCGAAAGCCATCGTATTCTAGTAGAAGTTTAAGGTGAACATAACGTAGCTGAGACAACGCACCTAAAGTGCTTGTACGATTTAAAAGTGGTATTTTGGTTTGGAAGACGAAAAGTGTTCTGGGTGATCCAAAAAGTTTGAAGATGAGGTACTAGAAACATTCTCAATGGAGATTATTGAAAAAAAAAAAAAAAAAAAAAAAAAAAAAAAAAAAAAAAAAAAAAAAAAAAAANAAAAAAAAAAAAAAAAAAAAAAAAAAAAAAAAAAAAAAAAAAAAAAAAAAAAAAAAAAAAAAAAAAAAAAAAAAAAAAAAAAAAAAAAAACAGCAGATGCAAGGTCATTGGTTGCCATATTCTCTGAAGCCAAGAACCTCTGAAAGACGACAGAAACGCTGCCTAAACGCAACAAAATTAATTTGGTTTTGCATCGAATTCGGACTGCTAATTAAAAATGGATCAATTAAACTTTAAATACTATTTTGAAAACAGTGGCTTTTGCCTAACCCGCCATATAACCCAGGCATTGCTCCTTCTGTCTGCCATTTGTTCCAGTCGATATAGAACGTCCTCTGTTTAGGCTCACAACAGAACAATGCATTAAATATTGATTTTATTCATTTTTGTCGGCAGTTCTTTTTTCTAGTATATTGAGCCAATGTCTTAGGTGGTACTGAGTAATAGTTTTGGAGACTTAGGCTTAAAAAGTTACGCCTCGAGTTCAGCTATATATTCAACAAAAACTTTAAACGAGTTTTCTCCAACCTGTGTTTTCGAAGTCGGTTGTGAAAATTTCTTCCTCACCGATCTCAATGAAATTCTACATAGGTCTTCCCGATATAATTCAGAATAATTTTCGGTTTGTTTAAATACTGTTATTTGAAAAAAAAACTCGAGAGATGATCACAAATGTTTGCAAGTTTTTGTAAAAACTTTTGCCAAAAATTATATTTAATTCTTTTTGTTTTTGATTCATCCAAAGCCTAGTTTTTGGTCTTAAGGGGGTATTCTAGTCTAGAAATTTGAAAGAATCGAAAATTTAGTTTTGATATTCAAAAATATCTCCTTAAAAGGATTTTTCAAAACTCAAATTATTTTCAAAGTTATAGCCATTTTAGTGACTTGGCGATTGGACCGGTTGAGCGAACTATCTATCTATCTATTACCTTGCCCGAAACTTAACTTTTAAACTTTAAACGCGTTTTTCTCAAAACTCCTTTTTGATGCGGCAGCCACAATATCTCAAGTTCTATTCAGTCGATTTATTTGAAATTTTGCATTCTATTTCATTTCTATCTAGAAACAACAAAAAGTAAAAATTTGGAATTTATAATATTAAAAAAAAATCGACAAAATTAGTGAAAAAATCGACCTTATTTTTTGAGTAGCCGCCATTTTATGAAAAAAATTTTGGCTGCTTCATAACATAGTGACATTCGTAATCATTACGAATCTGTAATTTTTCTATTTTTCAGAAATAAATTCATGGCGAAGAGGACAAGGCCTCTTTTTTCCCCCCTTTTCTTCAAGGAGGCATAACTCGATGAAAAAAAAAAAATTTGTTTTGAAATTTATTTTGTGTACTCTTCTAAGTTTAATAAACAAATGATAAACGGATAGTAAAAATATCTGGTGCTTCTTTTTTATTAATTCTTGAAAAAAGCTCGAAATTCGAGCTTCTAGACTAGAATACCCCCTTAATTAGAAAAGTATTTTTTTACTTTTTACATTTGATGGTTTTATAAGAAGTTCTGCTGTCAACGCGGAGACACTTTTTGTTCGATTCATTCCCGAAAATGACTTCATAATGACCGATGTTAGAATATTTTCCTTTGAAAATTTCACAAAATCTTTGTAAAATATTTTACTTTGGAATTGTAAACCCATCCATTCAGACTATCTCAATTTCTTATGATGCGTTCTAAGTATAGTAAAATATAGAGTCAACTCTAACTTGATTTAAAATATGTATACCAATTCTATTTTGAGTATTTAATATAGGATTCTAACCCATCTTAACCTTACCTTATTTGTTTATACCAACAACAATGGTATTTCTTCGCACAAACATCTGGGTATACTTTTTACAAATGCTAATCACATAATACTTGTGGACAAATACTCCCTATTACTGGTACTTTTTACGCTATTTATATTCTTTACGTAATAAAATAACACTATTAAATTGTAAACTGTCATTCAGCGATAACTAAATATTATTTGAGAAGGTTTATTCCCACAAATACATAACGGGAAAACAGGAAAGAATTACATGAATAATAAAAAATCGTAAAAGCAAAATATAAATAAATTATTGAATATATGTATGAATACATATATATATTTCTAATATTTCTGCTGGTAACGGACACACTTGTTATATTTATGTGTGTACAATTCGTAAGCCGATTAGCACACGTGAACATGGAACGTGCCCGTAGCGAAATGTGATAAATTGGACGCTTTCTTTACCAACAATAAACACATGCTGCCACTATTTATTAAATATTACTTTGCTTTGTCGACATACATTATTATACCCTTAAGTGCATTAGAGTGTTTCTAAAAATTTCAAAGTTGTTAAATCTCGTAAAAATTAAAATTGAAGAATATAAAACATTTATAAAAAACTGCATTGATTATGTGTAAATTCAATATTAATTAAAAAACTAATTTTTTCTTTCTTAATTAAATAATAATCTATCTAACAAAAATAAGAAGAGCTGAATTTAGGGTGTAAATAAACATTTTATATTCTTGTTATTTGCAGCGAACACAGCCGGAGGAGTACCTTCAAAAGCAAAAGGCTTAATAGTTATATGGGCTTGTTAGTTATAAGACTAATTCTCACTCGATTTTGTCCATTTAGGCACAAAGATGATTCGTTATTAGAAAAACATGGTCACTCCAGTTGATTAAGGGGTTACAAGGATTTACGGGTTTCAAACAAATTTTTATTACCTTTTTCAAATATACAACAACTCTAGAATATTGTCATACATTTTCAAG